GAGTGGGAGAAAGGAGAAGAGGGGATAAGATAGAGGAAAGAGAATTGTAATAGGCCTTGCTGTGAAGGTTAGATGCTTTTTCACAGTCTTTGTAGTATCTACACAAGGAATTTGATTCCTTTTTCATTCATTTTGGCTGTTGAGTTAGGCTTGACTTTATGCAGAGATAAAGCCACATGATCACTGAGACATATTAGGATGACAATCACATTTATCTCAGTTTATCATTCTACTTTTGTGTGATGGTTTTATTCATGCTCCAGCCTCCTTAAGCAGCAGTAAAAGAAGGAAACAGGTGTAAGACATACCATCTCCCCAGCCCTTAGCTCAGTGCCTTATACAAAGGAGAAAATATGAGTGAGAATATGTTAAGGAAATAAATGCTTTAGAGAAAGCCATCGGTTATGGCTGATTCGCGTTCTTTTCTCTTTGCTTTCCTGGAAAATTTCACCCTTAGCTAACTTACTGAATGAATCCCCTTCAATTGGTCTCCTTCCTTTTTTGTGGACATTTCATCAACATCTTTATGAAGTACTAAATTCTCCTTACATGATAATTCTTGGTGCAGAGACCCTTTGTCAGGCCTGTGGTTAATTCCAGAGCTCCTAACTTTTGTTCTTAATATAGAATGTGAAAATTCTATAATCAGTGGGAAAAATGTATGCTAAGTAGATAAAATCAGTCCCACTGTAGCATAAGTCTCCAGAGAAAAGAGATAAAAACTACTTGATGCTTGAGTTAAAAAAAAAAAAAAAAAGACCAAAATATTTCCAGTTCCAGAAACTGAATTTCATTCCTAATGTAAATATAGAAGCCTCTGGAGAAGAGGATCATATTTGGAAGAGGGAAGGAAAGCAAAGGGAATGGTAGGAAGGGACTTCATCATTGGGCTTCATAGCAGGGCAACAGCTCAAACAGAGAAATCGACCATTTCTTTAACAGTAGTTGGTCAGGCCTAAAAACTGAGGTTTGTCTTGATTTCTTTCTCAGTTCTCCCATTTCATCCATCACAAAATCCTGACGCCTCTGTCTCCTAAATACTTCTTTATCCTGTCTATTTTTTTCCTCATCCAAGCTATCCATTTTTTTTCCCTCTTTTTCTTTTTTAAAAAGTTTTTCAATAGGATACATGTACTCACTGCAGAGAGAGTGAGAAATCAACCCTCAGAGAGGATAGCCATGCTGCAATTCCTTTTCCTCTGTTCCACTCTCAGGATTTGGGGCATGGACGCACACACACCTGGAGTGTTTTTTCAAGCCGCTGGGTCCAGCACTCTAACCGTACAGTTGATCAGGTGGGATCCAGCCATCTTAGCCTCCATACCACCTGCTGGCCCCAAAGTATCCATTTCTTACATCCCCTAGTGGCCTCTTAATTGTCTTCTGTTTTCTCTCAGTCCTCCCCCAATTCATTCTCCTCAAAGCTACCAAAATGATAGTCCTAAAATATGAATTTAGATCCCTGTTTTATAACATGTAAAGCTGCCCCCTCTTCCTCCAGACACTAAACATGTATGATAATATGGAGAATGAGAAAATACAAATGAAGATGAGAAGATAACAGACATAGATGACTCTAGAGATGGGCTGTTACAGGGAGCAGATGAACGGTGTGCAGTTGGAAAGCACAGTGAAGTAGAATTGTTTTCTCTTTCCAAAGGGACACTTATAGACTGATCAGAATGCAACACTGAGGAGGGAGAAACTGACGGGACCCAAGCTAGAGGAGTATTGTCAGGAGCAAAACTCTTGAGGATGTGAGTGATTTGATGCACGCTAGGGCAGGCATGTGGTACGTTGTAAAGAATTCGCTTTTTCTTTTTTTTTTGGAGAGGTTTTTGCTATAGGGAGCATGCGCTCGCCAGACAGACAAAGACAGAGAGACAGAAAGCGAGAAATCACCCCCCAGTGGGGATGGCCACATCACAATCCCTCCCCCTCAGTTCTCCTCTCAGGATCTTGGGCACGTACACACATGCACCCGGTGTGAGTTTTAAGCCACCAGGTCCGGGACACAAACCACAGTCGACTACATGAGAGTCCAGTGACATAGCCATTACGCTAACTGCTGGTCCCTTTTTTCTTTTCTTTTCTTTTCTCTTTTTTTTTTGAGAAGTGTTTGCTATACGGTGCGTGTGCTCACCAGAAAGACAGAGAGACATAAAGTGAGAAATCACCCCCCGGGGGGGATGGCCACATTGCAATCCCTTCTCCATTCTCTTCTTGGGATTTTGGGCATGCACGAACATGTGCCCGGCATGAGTTTTAAGCCACCGGGTCTGGGACATGAACTGCGGTTGACTACATGGGAGTCCAGCAACATAGCATTACGCTAACTGCTGGTCCCCCTCCTGCTCATCTTTCACACCTCAGCCCAAATCTCACTTTCTTCTTTAGAGATTTTTTTTCTATAGAGTACGTATGCTCACTGAAGACACTGAGAGAGAAGGAAAGTGAGAAACCACTCCTTAGGGTTCTGCAATCCTCTCTCCTCCATTCTTCTCTCAAGATTTTGGGTACACATGCACACGTACCCAGAGTGAGTTCCAAGTCGCCACGTCTGGGACTTGAACCATGTTCAGCCATGGAGGAGTCCAGCACCTTAACCACTATGCTAGTTGCTGTCAACCTCACTTTCTATGGAAGCCTTTCCCAGCACTTTGGATAAATCATGATTCCATTGTAGCAGACTTTCAGAACATTCTAGATTTTGATTTCATTACCATATTAAGTTTGTTACAGGTACTTGTGTGGTTGCTTAATGTCTGTTTACCCACTCCAGTGTCAGCTCCAAGAGGTGGGGACCATGTCACTGTGCTCATTCTTATATCCCACAAGCCTCCCCAGGTACCAAATGCATAGTAAACCCTTGAGGTTTGAATAATGAGTGAATGGATGCTAGTAGAGGTTGGAAAGTAAGAGTTGGTATGCTGTTAGTGTGCATGTCAGCTTTACTCTGTGGGACACGGGGGCATGCCATCTCACCCTGCCTGGCCATTCCAGACTAGTGTGATTTGGGTATAGGTTGGTGTTGTCTGCAATGGCGAGCATCCTGAGGACAGGGACCTCTTGTTCAATTTTTAGTGTCGGCATCTAATATAGAATCTCAAAACCATATATCAAATGGCCAAGCTAATCGGCATAGGCTCCCTTTCCAAGAAAAGGATGGAAGTGTCTCTGCTTATACATTATACTCGTGTATTGCCTCAAATTGGGGTATATTCCAGAGCAAAAGTGATCAGCAATGTCCACCACACAGGACTGTGTCTGTGGTCCTCTGCCACTCTCTTAGCTCGGATGTCAAGTTTCTGTTGGTCCTTGGTCTATTTGCTGAGTTTTCTAAGCATTTTACAAGCACCATTACCCTTACCATGTTGAGTAATTGCCATAGTAGAAACAGCAATGTGTGGCAGTTAAAGGCTTCTTCTGATGGCACTCAAAACAATGTTACATGAGTTTATATCTACTGTTTGTGGACTCAAATTCCAGACACACCTTCAACAGAGAAAACGTCTAGTCCAAATGGGATTTAAAACATATATTAGATTATAGAAGGTTCTGGGTTCACACATGCCCCCTCATCAATAAGCCAGGGCACATATATAATTGACCAGAAGGCTCACTGGGATTAATTAGCAGCCGTATGTGAAGAGCGTGGTTCAGATTCGTAGCACTGAGGATGGAGTTCTAAAATGGCCAGTTCTCAGAATCCCAATTCAGTCACTGCCCTGGGAGCTCACTACTTGGCTGATGAAACTGTCAAGAGGAGGCTTGGCTCCTCTGTGGGCCAGCATGGGCACTGCACGCCCAGCTGCTGTCGGCAGAGGGCAGCAGTACGCTGTGCGTGTTCAATTTGCATCCCGGATTAGCAAATCCCCCAAGGACTGACAAAAGAAGAAAGTGGGTTTCCCAGGACTACCCTAATTCCTTTGCTCTGGGTGTCAACCCTGGTCAGAGGAATTTACAAACACCAACCTTCCACACTGGACTCTGGCTCATCGGAAATAGAGAAATGAACACACCACTAGGAGCTGCCATCACAGACAGGAAGTAACTTTAATTAAATATTGTGAAAGTTGAAAAGTTTTTACAGCTTGAATCTTTGCAAAAAAAAAAAATTATAACAATTTCTACAGTATTTAGGTTCTCTAACAATTGAACTGTACAGTGTGTGTCTATTCCAAAGTTTTGATAAGAAGGTGAAAGGTTAGTAGATTTGGAGATGACTTCATAAGCTGCATCCTAGTACAATGTGAGCCAGGGTATTATGCAATCCAGTCACCCAGAAGCTGCACCCCCCCCCACCTGAAACCTTAATTGAATTCTCTCTTTCATTTCCTTCTTAAAGCCATATTCTGTATTTAGGGGAACATCTTTTACTTGTAAAACTTTTGTGTTGAAGTCAGAAGGTCAGAGGGCCGGGATCTCTTTTTATCTAATCAATATAAATAGAAGCAACAAAACACAAATTATACACATTTTAAAGGCTCTTTGGACTTTCCAGAAAAGTTCTAACCACTGCACATGGCTGACAGATGGGTGGCGTCTGTTGTCAGGGTTTGAACCGGACAGTCCGACCGGCTCACCACTGGTTCCTTCACAGTTAAGGGGCTCACCGGACAAAATATGGCTTTAAATCGTATACATCTTCAGGCCAGCGCTTACCACACAAATTCAGAAAACCTTTCTGAGTACCGAGAAGCAATGCGTCCACCTTGCTTACATTTTCCAGTTTTTTTTTTTATTATTATTAGTCATTATTATTATTTCTCACCATGAAAAATCAGCTTTCCTCCCTCCCTTCCCTCCCACAATTCCCCTCCCCCACCCGCCCCAACCCATAAAAATCGCACTCTGACAGTCTAGTGAAAACCATTGCAAAATCCATATGGGGGCATGCACAGTTGCAGCATTGTTGTAAATGATTTCTTGCTCTACTAGAAAAAGTTACATTGTCTTAAGGTAACAAAACAGTTCTTTTGTGCTTTTCGATTTCTTTGTTTTTTTTTTTTTCTTTTTTCTTTTTCTTTTTTTCTTAGAATGTTAGTGATGACTGACAGTTCTGGTGCACAGTTACAATGTACAAGTGAAATGAATATGATTTGCATTGTTAAGGCATCCAATCTGCTGGTTTATATTTATGTGAAAGACAGAGGAAATATACAAGCAGACTTAAGAAAGAAAGTATGTTCATTGATTTCTATGAAGTTTCTCCCCCCGAATTTAATGCACAAAATGCGTCACTCCAAAGGGAGAGATACCATGCATATTAATAGAGTAAAACAGCATTAGGTTTTTTGTAAGCTTCCAAAGCAAAGGATACATTTTTTTTTAAGTCTACAGAACTAAATACTACAAGAATAATATGCTACTGGTTTTTTTTTGTTTTTTTTTTTTTGTTTTTTTTTGCCATATATTGGAAAAAACATCTTAACTTACAAATAATACAAAAATAGACAATGGCTTTTGGGTGAAAATTTAAAAAAAAAATTGAAGCATGGTTTAAAACAATACTAAAAATAACTATAAATGAAATGTTTAAGATCACATTGAAACAGCTAATACAACCGTAGGTGACCAAACAAATACGCACTTTTCACATAGCAAACATACACAATAAAATAATTGGGGGTTGGAGGAAGAGGAAAAAGAGAAAAGCAATGTACAAATCCCAAAGATAAATACATTATTTATACGGATATTTTACAAAATCCCCTTTAAAACAAAAAGCCTTTTTAATTAACTTTGCAAGTATGTGCAAGCCAAAGGTAGTGAGCTTTTTTCTTTGCAAAATATGCGGTAAAATCTTTTTGTGATATTGAAAAACTGTCTTAAGACATTAAAATGTATAAATAGAACAACAACTTTGGCAAAAAATCACAAAAAATCTACAGTATTTATAACTACATACAAAAACACAACAGCAAAGAAAAAAATATATCAGGCAAATGCATCCTCAGAACTTTGCTGCATCTTTGCTATTAATTCTGATTTTTTAAGAACACTTCCCAGATGAGAGCAAAAATTCCTATTCAACAGAAAACTATGTTGTGGAAGTCTCAACCTTCTTTTCCTTTCCCCCAGTTTCCTTTTAGTCTTAATTCCAAAGCACTTAACCTGTTGTATTAATCTATTATGTTACAAATAGCAAGGGTCGACAGAGAGAGAGAGGCGCTATCTTGAATGGGGAAATTGAAATACCTGCCATGTTGCTTTTGTCAGAGTTTGGGGTTATTGGGCCAAAGTCAGTATCTAAGATGAGTAAACTTAAACTTGTAAAGGGCCGAGTGTGAGATTTTGGCTGGATAACCCGAGGGCATTGTGTGACGTTCTGTACCTGGACCCTGTTCCATAAGTCTCAAAGGAGATTCTCACAGAGTTTGGGTGCAACCAAGCTCTCTGGAGAGGCCACTGACTTCAGAAGTTGACAAAAGTAAAAGAGAATGGTATCGGGTTTCAATATGCAGTTTTAACAATCTGTCTAGAGGCACTGGATTTTTGAGAAGGAAGGAAAAAATGTGATCACTTACATCGCTTTTTCACTTTCCAGGCTGCATTTATTTACACAGTTACTTAAGACAATAATACAAAAGAGATAAATAAGCTTGCACTGCTAAGGGATGGCATGTTAAGTTAGATATTGAAAATGCACGGTCTGAGCTAACTACCATTTGATATGCTTTAAGGCGCAAAAGCCGACCCTTAGTTTTCTAAAAAATCTAACTGGCATTCCTATTCTGTCCCATACAAGCTTTTTTTTTTTTTCTTTTTTTCTTTTTTAACTTTTCTGTAAATATCACCACTTCATTCTCCCTTTACACAGCTTTAAAAACATCATAAATTAAAACATGGAGTCTTATTTATAGTGTCCCTTGTATATAGCTTTACGGTTTATAAAAGACAAATGATCGCAGAGTTAAGCTTTAAAAAAAAAGAAAAGAAAAGAAAAGAAAGAAGAAAAAGTGGATTCGCTTTATCAATACAGAATAAATATATCCCCCAAATACTTGGGAGGCACAACTTGAACCAACACCCTGCACTTGCAGACCCCCTCCAATTTCAGTATTTGCAAGGTCGGTGATTTTGTTCGTTTAAAAATCTGCAGTTATTGTGATTCCTCTTAAAAAGGCCTGAGTTAAAAGTTCCACTCTGGGACTTGTATCAGATTACTCTCTGGAGCAGAATCCAACCTCTTCATTAATAAAATTCTTCAAGGCAATTCTTTCACATGGGCGGAACAATCATGCCAGATATCGCTATGGAAAGAGAAGATAGAAGTCAGTGGTTTTGCGTCCAAACTTCTCACTGAGAGACAGGAAAAAAAAAAAAGGTTAAAAAAAAAAAAAAAACACCCACACATGACTACATTGGTTGAATATTAACCAATGCTCTCATTTTTTCTGAAATAAAGGGTTTTTTTTAATATATCTACATAATATATAAATACTTTATTAAAAATTATATCAGTATGTGTAAGTGGCTTTAACAGAAAAGAATATCCTGAGCAACCCTCCAAATCTGATTTCACTTTTAAAACACAACTGGAAAGTCCCATCGTTTGAATACCGCTGGGAAAGTTGCAATCCCAAACCTTGCAAAACAGTGAGAATTTTAATTTGTCACTCTTTTAACCCTCCCCTTCAACATCCACGATATAAAATAAAACCCAGCCCATCCCTACTTCTAGCAATTTCTACCAAGAACCATGACTCTGCCTGTGTCTGTCTTAGCAGGAAAGCTGAGCCACAGAGAAGCAATCTGAATGCGTTCATTTCAGTCCACGGGTGGAGAGAAGGAAAGAGCAGCTCCAGCAGGCATCTCTCACTGGGAATAGAAAGTCGAGAGCAAGCTTGGAGGGAGAGGAGGGGACACATATGCTTGAAACTGCAGAATGTCTTCCATACAACCACTTCACTCAAGGTTTTTGGAGTGGTCTATGTTTTCTAGACCATCATAGCTTAGAAAAGCTGGAGTGATAGCCTGGGAAAATGGAAGGCTGTCCGAGGGAACCAAAAATCAAAGCGTTGGGAATTCTGAGTGGAACGTAGCATGGAATCAGAGAACCTCTGGGGGTTCTGCTTCTAAGTGTGTCCCCTGGAGTGAGTGCGATGTCTCCCTAAACCCCAGCTTCCTTAGTTAGAAAGTAATCCCAGCACTGAGAGGCACTGGAGATTTAATTACAGTAACATGTACAGTGCTTAGCCTAGGTGCAGCTCCCACTAAGGACCTAATGGGGTTAGCTACTTTGATTTTGTTTTTATTTTAGCATTTTTGCCATAGGACGTATACATTGGCCAAAGAGAGATTAAAAAAAGGGAAAGTGAGAAGTCACCCCCAGGGGGAGGGGGCATAATCCTTCCTCCGTCTCCTCTTGGGAATTTGGGCATGCATGTGTACACACCGGTGTGATTTTCAAGCCACTAGGTCAGAGACTAAAACATGGTCAGCCATGTTTTAGGAACCCAGCACCTTAAGCATCACACCACCTGCTCACCACAGCTGCTTTGATTTTTAACTTATCATTTCTGCTAAACTATGTGACTTCATATAGTTTAATGCCTGTGGGCTATGTTTCTTCTTATACAAATAGGTACCATCCTACACAGCACACTTCACACGATGGGTGTAAGGAATATGGGAACGTCTGTGTTATGAAATAATAGAACAGTGTTTCAGCTTTGCAATGTGAAAGATGAGAGAGAGATGCTTACATAGATGCAGGAGGCAGCCATCTTTGGCTCCCTGTGACGGCTTTCTTTCTACCACTAATTCTAAATCGGATCATGTCAGGGAGAATGTGCTTTCTTATTTTAAATGAACCTCACTACTATGAATCCTGCAGGGGACACAGGGAGGCTAGGCGGGGTTCTGAACCTGAGGCCCCCACATTCTTCCTGCTTCCTCACCCCCAACTCCTGACATTTTAGATTCAATTAAAAGCAAAACCAGAAAGGATTTTGCCAAACACTTTTTCCGTTAATTTTCAAACCCATCTGTAGTCACAAGGAAATTTAATCCACATGTTTCTGATTCATGTACACGTAAATCATCCAATGCTGTTTTGCAAGAGCCATTTTGCAGTCCAAAAGCTTCTGGAGTCCTTTCCGTAAGCCCTCATGAGCCTTTTTTTTTTTTTTTTTTTTTTTTAGAAACAGGAAGTTGTCTTTTGCAAATGCAGACCAATTTAAATCCCTAAAAATTTGGGATCAGTTAGAAATGTAGACCCCTAAGAGTTGTCAGTCCTAGATTTGATAAACAAGGAACTTAGTATTCAGATGAAGACTTGAAAATTCAAGATGCTCTAACATCAAAGGAAGGAGGCATGAGTGTCTTTGTACAGCTTGGGAGCCTCTGCATCCCTAAGGATCTCTTCACCGGGCAGGAGATGGGTCCAGGCACCCTTTTTAAAGACAGCAGGAGCTCTAAGCCGAGAATTAAGTCTACTTTTGTCTTCTACCAAAATCTGCTCTGTGTGCTTGGCATTAAAGCCCGGTCTCCTACAATTTAGTCAGATATCCAGTGTCGTATGATTCAAAGTGGAAAGCTGACACACTTTTTGCTAGTTTGGTTAGTGCGTCCAGCCATTTACCAGCTGGACCTTGAAAAATATCCCATTCGGAGGGCCAGAAAAAAAGAAGAAAAAGATGTAACAAATATTTTGGTACCTGAATTGTTAAATTAATGAGGTTCGACTTCAACTTAGGGCCACCTTGGAAGTTCTAAAGCAAAGCTAACTGATGCGCTGATCCATAACTGGTGTTCTTCCTCTGGACTCTGGGGCTTGCAAACTCCAGGCCTCTAGAACTCAGGTTGGGCGTGTAAGTGAGCAAAGTCTGCTGGATGGGGTGGAGGTGACACTTCCAAGGGCATGCCTCCTTCAGAGCAGGCAGCAACTCAGCTCCCAATAAATGCGGCTATTCAAGAACACATGCTCACAGCCACCAGCTCTTCTGAATTACTTCCAGAAAAGCTGGAGATGTGAATTTCTTAAAAGACGCTATAGCAGGGAACCAGCAGTTAGCGTAATGGCTATGTTACTGGATTCCCACGTAGTCGACCACAGTTTGCATCCCGGACCCGGTGGCTTAAAACTCATGCCGGGCATGTGTGTGTGCATGCCCAAGATCCCAAGAGGAGAATGGAGGAGAAGGGATTGCGGCGTGACCATCCCCTCTGGGGGGGTGATTTCTCGCTTTCTGTTTCTATGTCTCTCTCTGTCTGTCTGGTGAGCACATCCGCCCTGTAGCAAAAACCTCTCCAAAAAAAAAAAAAAAAATAGATGCTATAGCCCAGTTTATACATGTTAGCAAATGATTAAAATTGAAACTAAAGAGGCATGAGTAGATGTGGCCTGCACCCACTCCCTTACCCTTCCTTCAGATGTCGCAGAAGGTCTAGCAAAAGCTGTGGAACTTCTCTCCAGAAGTAGAGCCATACGTGTCTACACCCAGAATTATTCTATATGTCACATTAGGGGCTTACAACATCTTAAATCTCATTCATGACTTTTTTATTTTTATTTTTATTTTTATTTATTTATTTATTTATGTATTCATTTTTGCTACAGGGCAAGTGCACTTGCCAGAAAGACAGAACAAGACAGAAAGACAGAAAGCAAGAAATCACTCCCTGGAGGGATGGTCATGACTCAATCCCTTCTCCTCCATTCTCCTCTTGGGATCTTGGGCACACATGCACACACATCTGGTGTGAGTTTAAGCCACCGGATCTGGGACTCGAACTGCGTGTGCAATGCCATTGTAACTATAAAAAATTTTATCTTTTAAAAATGTATATACCTTAATTTTTTTTTAAAAAAAGAGGTGTTTGCTATAGGGTGCATGCACTCGCCAGACAGAGAGAGACAGAGAGACAGAATGCAAGAAATCACCCCCCAGGGGGGATGGCCACGCCATAATCCCTTCTCCTCCATTCTCCTCTCGGGATCTTGGGCACACACACACATGTGCCTGGTGTGAGTTTCAAGCCACCGGGTCTGGGACGTGAACCGCGGTCGACTACATTGGGAGTCCAGCGACATAGCCATTACGCTAACTGCTGGTCCCAATCATGACTTTTTAAACTCCAAATGCAGAACTTTACAAGTAAATCCTGGGGAAGATCACTTTTTGTAGCCTCTGACTTAGGCGTTTCGGAAGAGGCCTTTTTTTTTTTTTTTTTTTTTTTAATTAAAGACACTGCACAAGTGCATGAAGCTCCTGGGTTTTAGTGTTTTTCTTATTTCTGTTCTGTAATCTGAAGATTAATTATGTGGGTGAGAGGGATGGGTGTCTGAGTCTTGCAATGTTCCAGAAATGCCACAAGCATGCCGATTTGCCCAAGTGGGACCCAGGGAAACCTCTTGAGGATTCCACACTCTCAGCGTCTTCTGCCAAGGCATCACAGGACCACAGTGGCTCTGTTATTTTTTCCCCAAAACAGCTGGGGGGTCATGTTCTCTGATTGAAGCTCAGAAAACTATTGGTTTCAAAGGCAATACATTTTTTTTGTTCCAGTTTCCACATTTTGATAAGAGCAAAGATAAAAATGGACAGTTTTACAGAACTGAGAGGGTAGAGCGTGGTCTTCCCCAAACCACCATCTGTGTAAGAGAGTTATGAGCTAATCAGGAACAAGGGGAAGAGTGAATATGTACAAACCGAACATACATGGAGGAAAAAAGGCAATTCCACTGGGCTTGGGACTGAACTGCCCACATGCAGGGTCAAGAGGAATGGACGGCCTGAATTTTGACAAGTGGAAGAGAAAAGTATCAGTATAGGGGTACTATTTTTGTGAAATCACTCTGGGGTTTTTTGTGTGTTTTTTTACTGCATAGACTTTCTAGGACCTGATCAGAGTTTAGAGTCACTGTCTTAGTTGGGGGTTCCAATGGCATATGACAACCCTCTTGGGGCCACCTCTCTTTTTGTTTTTTTAGACAAACATTTTTGCTAGAAGGTGCATGTGCTCACCAAAGAGACAGAGAGAGACAGAGACAGAAAGTGAGAAATCACCCCCTAGGGGGAATGGCCATATTGCAATCCTCCATTCTCTCAGAATTTGGGGCATGCACACACACACCTGGCATGAGTTTCCAACCTCCAGGTCCAGGACTTGAACCATGGTCAGCCATGTGGGAGTCCAGCAACGTAACCATTACACCATCTACTGGTCCCTGGGTTGCCTCTGTTTTATCAAGTCCTTTGAGGCCTGAGTTGCATAGAGTCTCTGCTCTAAGAAGGACAAGCTTTAGGAGAAGGGAGACGATGTCTTCAGGGACAAAGGTGGAGCACAGTTGGTGA